CTCCCCATTTTCTGTGGCCGTTCGCGGTTCAGTACGCAGCGCATCAGATCAACCTTCAGCCTCGTGTCTCCTTGCCGGAGACCACACCTACTCTGCGGTGGACGGGGAAGGTTGGCGATGCGTCCGCGTTCCGTGTCTGGGGATCTCGAGCTTTTGTCCGCGATACTACTGCGGACAAGCTGTCCTCCCGTGCCGTTCCCTGTGTCTTCCTTGGCTTCCCTCCTGACGCACCCGGGTGGCAGTTCTACCACCCCACCTCGCGTCGTGTTCTTTCCTCTCAGGACGTCACGTTTGACGAGTCGGTGTCGTACTACCGTCTCTTTCCCTACCGCACTGCCTCTCCCCCTCCCCCGCCGCTCTTCCTTGCCCCAGGTACTCCCCCGGTAGACCCCCCCCCCCCCCAGGGTCCTGCCCCCTCAGGTGTGTCCCAGGTAGACCCTGCCGAGCCGGTCGAGGTAGCTGTCGACTCAGGTGCTGAGTCTGGGGGTGCTGAGCCTGCGGGTGCGGGGACTAGGGGTGCTGAGTCTGGGGGTGCTGAGTCTGGGCGTGCTGAGCCTGGGGGTGCTGAGCCTGCGCGTGCTGCGTCTGGAGGTGCTCTCGGTGTCCCGCCGCGGCGGGAGCCTCTCTCTCCACAGCGGCTTCGTGAGTGGTACTCTCGGCTCTGTCGGGGTACTGCTGGGGCTTCTGGAGGTGCTGCTGGTGCTGGTGCTGCTGGAGGTGCTGCTGGTGCTAGAGGTGCTGCTGGGGCTTCTGGAGGTGCTGCTGGTGCTGGTGGTGCTGGAGGTGCTGCTGGAGGTGCTGCTGGGGCTTCTGGAGGTGCTGCTGGTGCTGGTGCTACTGGAGGTGCTGCTGGTGCTGGAGGTGCTGCTGGGGCTTCTGGAGGTGCTGCTGGTGCTGGTGGTGCTGGAGGTGCTGCTGGAGGTGCTGCTGCTGCTGGAGCTGCTGGAGGTGCTGGAGGTGCTGCTGGGACTGGAGACCCTGGGGCTGAGGGTACCGGTCCTGTTTCTGCTGTTTCTGGAGGCGCTGCGCGGCCGCGGCCGTACTACGTTCCGCTCCTTCAGCAGGTTCTTAGCTCACCGCCTTCTCCTGGTCCTCCTCCTTTCCTGAGTCCGCCGCCTGTCCGGTCCCATTCACAGTTGCAGCCGGCTTCTCCGCTGCCCGGTCCTTACTCTGGACCGACTGGAGGTCTTACGGAGCGTCGTGAGCCTGAGTCTCGTCCTGTGTCGCCTGCGTCTCGTGCTGCGTCGCCTGTCCGTACTGTTCGCGCTGGTCGTGTTTTGCGTCCGCGTCTCCCTCCTGTCCCAGGCACTCACTCTATGACTCTGCGTCCTTCTACTGCTCCACAGCGTGTCCCTCTGCCGTCTCCTCCCGCGTCCTCTCTTCCTGCCAGTCCGGACCCGGAGTCTGACTCCCTTCGTGCTGCTAGTCCAGCTGTCACGCGCTTTCTGGCCACTGCTGTCACTGACCCTCTGTTTGAGTCCTCTGCTGCGTCTGCTCTTGTTACTGAGCTTGTTGACTTTGCTGCTGCCTGTCGCCTAGACTACGCTGCTAGTCTGGTTGCTGCGTCTGTGTCTGTCCGTCCTCCGTCCGTCGAGGGTGAGTGTGCTCTTGGCACGGACGTTCTTGAGGACAGATAGGAGGAGTTTGAGTGCTTTGCTACTTCTGTACCTCATCTCGTGTCCATGCTGCTGGCCCCTGAGGGAGACCCGGATGCACTAGACATCCCGACCCCGCGCTCTTACGCAGAGGCGATAGAGGGTCCCTACTCCTCTCAGTGGCAGGCAGCCATGGACGCAGAGATGGCTTCCTGGAAGTCCACAGGCACCTACGTAGACGAGGTTCCCCCACCTGGGGCGAACATCGTCAGTGGCATGTGGATCTTCAGGGTGAAGCGGCCGCCGGGTTCTCCGCCTGCCTTCAAGGCGCGTTACGTTGCACGTGGCTTCAGTCAGCGACAGGGAGTTGACTTCTTTCAGACCTTCTCCCCTACCCCGAAGATGACCACTCTTCGGGTACTGCTGCACGTTGCTGCTCAGCGTGACTACGAGCTCCACTCGCTTGACTTCAGCACAACCTTCCTACAGGGCAGCCTGCACGAGGAGATCTGGCTGCGCCGCCCACCTGGCTTCACTGGGTCGGTTCCTGCTGGTACCCAGTGGAGCCTCCGACGGCCAGTCTACGGTCTCCGCCAGGCGCCCCGTGAGTGGCACAACTCGTTCAGGATGACTCTTGCTTCTCTTGGTTTTGCTCCTTCCACTGCTGACCCTTCTCTGTTTCTACGCACTGACGCTACTCTGCCGCCGTTCTACGTTCTCGTGTACGTAGACGACCTCGTCTTTGCTACTGCTGACACTGAGGCACTCGCCCACGTGAAGTCCGAGCTGCAGAAGAGACACACGTGCACAGACCTGGGTGAGCTGACAAGCTATCTTGGCTTGCGGATCACTCGGGACAGAGCACAGCGCACCATTACCTTGACTCAGTCACACATGGTGCAGCAGGTCCTTCAGCGCTTCGGCTTCACGTACTCCTCGCCACAGTCCACTCCTCTGCCTACCGGTCACTCGCTCTCAGCTCCACCTTCGGACGAGTCCGTAGAGCCGAGTGGCCCGTATCCAGAGCTTGTGGGCTGCCTCATGTACCCGATGACTTGCACACGACTTGACCTCGCATACCCTCTCAGCCTTCTGGCTCGCTACGTGGCTCCCGGCAGGCACCGGAAGGTGCACTGGGATGCTGCGAAGAGGGTGTTGCGATACTTGTGCAGTACATCGGGCATGGGGCTCGTGCTTGGAGGACGGGCTCGAGTTGTTCTCACTGGTCACGCTGACGCCTCCTGGGTTGACGACTTGACTACGCAGCGGTCGTCACAGGGCTACACCTTCAGTCTTGGCTCCGGTTCTGTCTCTTGGCGTCTACCCGCTCTTCTTCTGTTCTCAGCTCCAGTTGTGAGGCTGAGATCTACGCTGGGGCCATGGCTGCACAGGAGCTACGCTGGCTTACCTACCTGCTGACCGACTTGGGAGAGGCGCCTCGTTCTCCTCCAGTTCTGTACGTCGACAATAAGGCCATGCTGGCCTTGTGTCAGGAGCACAGACTGGAGCACAGAACGAAGCACATTGCTCTGCGCTACTTCCTTGCTCGAGAGTTGCAGCAGCGTGGCCAGCTTCGTCTTGCGTACGTGGCCTCTCAGGCCAACACTGCTGATGTTTTCACCAAGGCACTTCAGCCTTGTGATCATCAGCGTTTCTGCACTGTGTTAGGCCTTGTACCAACTGTGCCTCACTTGCTTTCTGCCTGACTCTGCCTGTACTGTACTCGTTATACATATACCTGCATGCTTACTCTTGCTAGGTTTTGTTCTGTTTATTGTTTGTTTTCTTTTATATGACTCTGCATATGAACTGGCCTTGTGGCCATTTGCTTGTGCTCAGACTGCGTGGTGACTTTGTGATCCACCCTAAGCTTGCTTTGTCTTTCTTGACTGGTCTTGTGACCTCTTGTTCTCCCCCACTTTGCCTATGGGGGTGTGTCAAACTTATATCTGCTATAGTCTGTTTAGGCTGTAGTGGGGTAGTTCTTAGAGGGTTCAACATTTTTGTGTTCTCTACTTGTACCCATCTCGTTTCTAGTCCAATCATTCATTCTCAATTCTCTCACATTCCTCGTTGTTTTAGGGTTGACATCTACCCTAGCCTTCGATTAGACCACTTAGGTCCTTACAGGAGGTTCTTCTAGGAGCTTTTCTGCCTTGAACGTTCCTATTAGCCGCAATGGGTTCGATGTCTTACACCTCTAACACAGAGTCCGACTCAGGCGATGAAGATACAGAGTTTTGCTTCGTTGGAACTAGAGAGCCCAAACAAAGTGATATGTACCGTGCGTTGCTCCCGGAAATGGTCGTCGACGATGACCGCTCGCCACAAATTGTGATAGATGATCGAGCCTCGTTGTGTGAAGGTCAACTATACTCGTCTAAGCACTTTCTAGAAGACTATTCGGTAGCTTGCAACTTCGGATTTAGGATTATGAGGAGTTGGCGAAACAGAGTCCACGCCATATGCATGAGTCAACATGAGCGTCTTAAACCAGCGTGCAGGTGGCGGTGTGAGTACTCCACTGACGGTGTGGGTGGGTTTTGGCGTGTTGACAAACTGTCCGCCCCATCATCTCATTGCTGCTCACCCGTTGATCGGGACCGCTACGTGAAGCATACAACAAATAAAGTGTCATATCTGCAGCGTCATCATGGCAACCTTGTCCATGCTGCACCACATCACCCTCCCGGGACGTACAAGGATCAGATTGCGTCAACCGGTGGTCCGGATATCAATTATCATCAATCATGGCGGTACGTCTCGAAACATTCTCTCCATATCGCTTCCATTGTCACATGCACATTCTTAAGCACACCATTCACCTTCTGTTTTCTCAACGTGCCTATCTTTTCTCGCACATCGTCATCCGTCATTGTAGGCTCAAGGAAAGGATGCTGAAGGAGCGCTTTGGAGATTGGAAAACTTGTTTCCGCTACATTCCTCGGGTGTTGGAACGGTTCAGAGAGATTGACCCTGATTCAACGCTCGACCTTGTGACGAGGGATCACGCTTTCTTCCGGGCTTTTGCCGCCCCATCGGCATCAAAAACTGCTCTAAGGTTCTGCCGACCGGTCATTGGCATGGATGGTACATTTCTCATTCGGGCGCAGCGGGCTACGCTCTTGGTTGCGGCTGCAAAAGATGGAAATAACCAGCTTGTTCCTCTCGCTTTCGGTCTGTTCGAGAGCGAGAATAAAGACAGTTGGAAGTGGTTTTGTGAGAAGTTGTTGACGCATTTTCCTTCGTGGCCGGCTACCCACGATGCCTCCCTTATCAGTGATCGTGATAAAGGGTTAATACCGGCGGTTAAAGAAGTGTTCCCATCCCAGTTCCCCCACTACTTTTGCAGCTGGCATTTGGAGCAGAATGTGCTGAAGTTTGGCCCTAACGCCTCTGAACTCTTCAAGAAGCTCGCAAACTGCTGCACGAAGCGGAAGTTTGGCAAACTCGTGAGGAGATGCTGGGCCGAGTGTGCTGCAATGGCGAACTACCTCTTTGGGGTCGAAGAGGCCCGTGTGCAGCAGACCCGTGGCGAACGGGGAGCCGACCAGCGTGCAAGGGAGCCAGAGGGCGGGGATGGGTTACGGAGCCGGACGGGTGCGGCACAACGAGCCAGAATGGCAAGGATGGAAGTGCGGCGGCAAAGGAGGAGTGGTCGCAGAGGAGACCAGCAGACACCATCTCGGCAGCCACCATCTCAGCAGCCACCATCTCAGCATCCACCAACTCAGCAGCCACCATATCAGCAGCCACCACTTCAGCAGCAACCATGCCAGCAGCCACCATCTCAGCAGCCACCATATCAGCAGCCACCACTTCATTAGCAACCATCCCAGCAGCCATCATCTCAGCAGCAGCCATCTCAGCAGCCACCATCTCAGCAGCCCCATAGGGACCATGGGTTCAGACCCACGCCAAGTGCGAATCATACTCGTGACCGCCCTTGTGACCTACGGCCTCAATCTACGGCTGCCGACAACGTGCATCCATCTGATCATGTGACAGCAACACCATCCGAGCTCCCTTCGTTGGCAGGCGAGAATGTGGGAGATATGCTTACAACCATGTCCGACATTGGCAAGATGGCGTGTCACTTACTGTGAATGTCTTGGTATCGGGGTTCCAGTGCGAGAAGAATTTGGATGGGAGGTAGGTGGGATGCACGTATAAGACTTTCAAGAGGTTTCAGTTCAGTTTCAATAAAGCTTCACTTACTGTGAACGTCTTGGTATCGGGGTTCCAGTGCGAGAAGATTTTGGATGGGAGGGAGGCAGGATGCACGTGGTGTTTAAAAAGGTCTCACTTAATGGTCTTGGCAAGATGGCGTGTCACTTACTGTGAATGTCTTGGTATCGGGGTTCCAGTGCGAGAAGATTTTGGATGGGAGGTAGGTGGGATGCACGTATAAGACTTTCAAGAGGTTTCAGTTCAGTTACAATAAAGCTTCACTTACTGTGAACGTCTTGGTATCAGGGTTCCAGTGCGAGAAGAATTTGGATGGGAGGTAGGTGGGATGCACGTATAAGACTTTCAAGAGGTTTCAGTTCAGTTACAATAAAGCTTCACTTACTGTGAACGTCTTGGTATCGGGGTTCCAGTGCGAGAAGATTTTGGATGGGAGGTAGGTGGGATGCACGTATAAGACTTTCAAGAGGTTTCAGTTCAGTTACAATAAAGCTTCACTTACTGTGAACGTCTTGGTATCGGGGTTCCAGTGCGAGAAGATGTTGGATGGGAGGGAGGCAGGATGCACGTGGTGTTTAAAAAGGTCTCACTTAATGGTCTTGGCAAGATGGCGTGTCACTTACTGTGAATGTCTTGGTATCGGGGTTCCAGTGCGAGAAGAATTCGGATGGGAGGTAGGTGGGATGCACGTATAAGACTTTCAAGAGGTTTCAGTTCAGTTTCAATAAAGCTTCACTTACTGTGAACGTCTTGGTATCGGGGTTCCAGTGCGAGAAGATTTTGGATGGGAGGTAGGTGGGATGCACGTATAAGACTTTCAAGAGGTTTCAGTTCAGTTTCAATAAAGCTTCACTTACTGTGAACGTCTTGGTATCGGGGTTCCAGTGCGAGAAGATTTTGGATGGGAGGTAGGTGGGATGCACGTATAAGACTTTCAAGAGGTTTCAGTTCAGTTACAATAAAGCTTCACTTACTGTGAACGTCTTGGTATCGGGGTTCCAGTGCGAGAAGATGTTGGATGGGAGGGAGGCAGGATGCACGTGGTGTTTAAAAAGGTCTCACTTAATGGTCTTGGCAAGATGGCGTGTCACTTACTGTGAATGTCTTGGTATCGGGGTTCCAGTGCGAGAAGAATTTGGATGGGAGGTAGGTGGGATGCACGTATAAGACTTTCAAGAGGTTTCAGTTCAGTTTCAATAAAGCTTCACTTACTGTGAACGTCTTGGTATCGGGGTTCCAGTGCGAGAAGATTTTGGATGGGAGGTAGGTGGGATGCACGTATAAGACTTTCAAGAGGTTTCAGTTCAGTTACAATAAAGCTTCACTTACTGTGAACGTCTTGGTATCAGGGTTCCAGTGCGAGAAGAATTTGGATGGGAGGTAGGTGGGATGCACGTATAAGACTTTCAAGAGGTTTCAGTTCAGTTACAATGAAGCTTCACTTACTGTGAACGTCTTGGTATCGGGGTTCCAGTGCGAGAAGATTTTGGATGGGAGGTAGGTGGGATGCACGTATAAGACTTTCAAGAGGTTTCAGTTCAGTTACAATAAAGCTTCACTTACTGTGAACGTCTTGGTATCGGGGTTCCAGTGCGAGAAGATTTTGGATGGGAGGGAGGCAGGATGCACGTGGTGTTTAAAAAGGTCTCACTTAATGGTCTTGGCAAGATGGCGTGTCACTTACTGTGAATGTCTTGGTATCGGGGTTCCAGTGCGAGAAGAATTTGGATGGGGTCTTGTCAATCTCTGTGCTGGGGATCTGTTGTGAGAAGGAAAAGTCACCTCGTTACCATGGGGGGAGGGAAGGGGGGACTTTTGAGTCGACTCAAAAGTCACATCGTTACCATGGCACACGACACTTTTTCTGTGCTGGGGATCTGATGTGAGAAGGAAAAGTGTAGGGAGGGAGGGAAGGGGGGGGGAGGGGGGAGGATAGCTCTAGGAGTTAGAAGAGGGGAGAACGAAAGTTTTGCAAACTATTAAGAAGCAGGAAAGAAGATGTTTCTTAGTTGAATCGAACACATGGGCGGGGTGCATGCAGGAAGGAAGTGGGGAGAGACGTTGGTTCGTGGGTGCTTGAATTATAACAAAAAAAAAATGTACCCTTGGAATAATGAGATTGTAACTTCATATATAGGATCGTCCTTACGTACGCTCCTACCTTGAAAGATATGATTTCGTACGGCTCTGCTGCAAACAACAGGTACTGAAAGTTCTTGTCCCACGACTCAACTCGCTGCAAAGGCGTGGAGATTGAGGGAGGATGGGGGAGGATGGAGAGAGGGGGGGCAACAGAGGCGAGAGGATGGCGTTTAACACTCTTGTCCATAGACTTAACTCACTGGAGGGGGAGAGGATGAGGGGGAATTGCTGGGGGGGATGGCGGATGGGGGGGATGAAGAGGGGGGGGCGAGGGGAGGCATGGAGAAAAGGAAGAAAAGGAGGATTACTGGGAAACTGGAAAAAGGGGAAAGGAAGGGACGCAAGGGCACATAGGCACGTCACAACACGCACATCAAAACACCACAAACAACATCACCACAGATCACAACAGCACACCACACCACCACACCACCACACACATCCACACACCTGCTCATAGGAAGGCATGAATCGGTGGCGTGGCTTCACCCCGTCCTCTATTGAGAATTCTCACAAGTCACCTCTCAACACCACACATCACAGCACCACACATCTGAACACCACACAACTCCACAACTCCACAACAGCACATGCACACCGCACCACACCACATCACACACACACACAAACACACACACACACACACACACACACACACACACACACACACACAGACCTGCTCATACGAAGACATGAATCGGTGGCGTGGCTTCACCCCGTCCTCTGTTGAGAATTCTCACAAGTCACCTCTCAACACCACACATCACAGCACCAAGCATCTGAACACCACACAACTCCACAACAGCACATGCACACCGCACCACACAACATCACACACACACACACACACACACACACACACACACACACACACACACACACCCACACACCTGCTCATAGGAAGACATGAATCGGTGGCGTGGCTTCACCCCGTCCTCTATCTCTGGGTACTCGATCTGAACGGTAGGGGAGGCGTGTGGGGAGAGGACATAGAAGAGATCGGAGTGGATGGGGGTTGAGTGGAGGGCAAGATGAATCGGTGGCGTGGCTTCACCCCGTCCTCTATCTTTGGGTACTCGATCTGTGACCCATGGGGGAGGGGAGAGAGAATGGAAAAAGGAGCAATAAGGCGGATGGTGGAGTTGAGTAGGAACATGTGGTAGTGCCGTGGCTTCTTCACCCCGTCCTCTATCTGCTGGGTGTTTTTGAGAATTCTAAAAAACACCCTGAAGGAGCAATGAGGCGGATGGTGGAGTTGAGTAGGAACATGTGGTAGTGGCGTGGCTTGGCTTGGCTTCTTCACCCCGTCCTCTATCTGCTGGGTGCTCGATCTGCACGGTAGGGGGAGAGAAGAGTGGAGAGAGCGGAGAAAGAGAGATACAGTGCAGCAGATGGGCAGTGGAGGGGGGTGACATGAATCGGTGGCGTGGCTTCACCCCGTCCTCTATCTCTGGGTGCTCGATCTGAACGTCAAGGGGGAGGGAAGAGAGGGGTGGGGAAGGGGTGGGGGTTTGAGGGGGGGAGGAATCGGGGTTAGGGGGGGAGGAATGAGTGAGTGTGAATGTGAAAGACGAACCGTTGTATGCAACAGTTGAGTGTTTGTGTGTGCATGCACATGTGCAGGCACCCGATTGAACAAGAGATGTGCAGATTCATGGGTGTAGGGAGGCGAATACGGGTGAGGGGGGGAAGGGAGATGAGGGGAAAGACGGGGTGGGGGAGGGGGGGGAGGGGGGGTGGTTGGTTTGTGGACGGGACCGTTTGTGAAGAACGCAGTAATAAATGAAGAAAAAGATGTAAGAGGAAAGGAACAAGTGGGGAAGTGGAAGGAACATGGGAAAAGGTGCAGTTGGAGCACAGAAGAAGTCACATTGAAGCTGGACAGGAAAGAAGCGGGAGAGAGAGACACACACAGAAACAAACACACTCGCTTACACAGAGGAATCGCGTGGAGAGACAGACAAAGACACACGCACGCACACACCCATCCTCCACACACCCCCACCTCCCCCTCACCCCCCTTCTCCCTCTTCCCCTTCCCCACACACACAGGGGAGACGGAAGGAGAAACACACACCTGGAAGAGCAGCGATCGTTGGTGCGTTTCAGGATCAAACTGTTTGGTAACACGGTAACCAGGTCGACCGATCTTCACTGAAAATTGTACAAGGCATGGCAAGACATGGGGCATGGGGCATGGGGGGCACAGGGCATGGGGCATAGCGTATGGCAGATTGTGTCGTATTGTACTACTATATGAATGCCATGGCGCGGCGTGGTAGAAATGGGCCACAACCCCATTCACAGAATTTTGAGGCGCCTAAGAAAAGAATTTCTCTCCATATTTCATCTGCGAGCATTGAGGCGAGATTTGAGGCGCCTCAAAACTTGTGCGAATCGTGTTGTGTTGTGTTGTATGAACGCCATGGCCGGCCAGGCACAGTAGATATGGGTGAAACTCCCATGCACCTCCTTTCAGCAGCACTCTCCTCCTCGCCCCCAACTTCTCCCCCCCCTCTCGCTTGTCTTCCACTCCACAGGTTCACTCTGGGCCGTGCTGGCTGTGGCAGTGCTGGGCTTTTGAGGCGCCTCAAAAACATTTAGGCAATTTTTTAGGCGCCTCAAAAATCTCCTTGCCCCCCAATTTCTCCCCCCCCTCTTGCCTGTCTTCCGCAGATTCACTCTGGGTCGTGCTGGCCGTGGTAGCGCTGGCGCCTCCTTGGCTGGGTGCCGCTCGCAAGCACTCGCTCCCTCACGCACTCACTCACTCACTCACACACTCACTCACTCACGCACTCACTCACGCACTCATTCGCTCACTCACTCACTCGCCCATTCACTCACTCGCTCGCCCACTCACTTAATCACTCAATCGGCCACTCACTCAATCACTAACCCTGCCCCTGCCTTTCAAGCCCCCTCACCTGTCTTCCACGGGTTCACTTGGGGCCGGGCGGGTTGGGGCAGCGCCGGAGCCTCCTGTGCCTCCTTGGCTGCACGCTTGGCCAGATTCTGCTGGTGGCGCTTGCAAACTCTCAACCCCTCACTCTCCCACTCACCCAACCCCTGCATTTCAAGCTCTCTCACCTGTCTTCCTTGGGTTCACTCGGGGACGAGCTGGTTGGGGCAGCGCCGGTGCCTCCTGAGCCTCCTTGGCTGCACGCTTGGCCAGATTCTGCTGGTGGCGCTTGCAAACTCTCAACCCCTCACTCTCCCACTCACCCGACCCCTGCATTTCAAGCTCTCTCACCTGTCTTCCTTGGGTTCACTCGGGGACGAGCTGGTTGGGGCAGCGCCGGTGCCTCCTGAGCCTCCTTGGCTGCTCGCTTGGCCAGATTCTGCTGGTGGCGCTTGCAAACTCTCAACCCCTCACTCTCCCACTCACCCAACCCCTGCATTTCAAGCTCTCTCACCTGTCTTCCTTGGGTCGAGCTGGTTGGGGCAGCGCCGGTGCCTCCTGAGCCTCCTTGGCTGCTCGCTTGGCCAGATTCTGCTGGTGGCGCTTGCTAGCTCTCACTCACTCACTCTCTCATCTCCCCCCCATCTCCCTCCCATCACTCACCCTCTTCTCTCCCCCCTCTCACCTGTCTTGCGCGGGTTCACTCGGGGCCGAGCGGGTTGTGCTTCCTTAGCTGCTCACTTGGCCAAATTCTGCTGGTGGCGCTTGCCTTGCGTGTGCGCACTGACTGACTAACCCACACTTCCACCCTTCAATTCCTGCTCTCTCCCTCTCTCACCTGTCTTCCTTGGGTTCACTCTGGGCCGAGCGGGTTGGGGCAGCGCCGGAGCCTCCTGTGCCTCCTTAGCTGCTCGCTTGGCCAGGTTCTGCTGGTGCCGCTTGCCTTGCGTGTGCGCGAGATAGTTGCCTTCGTTGTTGTGGAGAGTCAGACACAGCTTGCATTCATAACTTTTGATACGGTCACGGGGCAGGGACGGAGGGGATGGGGAAAGCAGGGCAGAGGGAATGGCAGGGAAAGGAAAGGGATGGGAAGGATTGGCCAGGTTCTGCTGGTGGCGCTTTCCCTGCGGGTGAGCCAGGTAGTTGCCCTCGGTGTTGTGAAGCGTCAGACACAGCTTGCAATCGTAGCTGTCACGAGATGAAGCACAGGGGAAGGGAAGTGAAAGGGGAGGGCGTGGGAAGCGCAGGGGGAAAGGGGAGAAAAGGCATGCCCTGCGGGTGAGCGAGGTAGTTGCCCTCGGTGTTGTGAAGAGTCAGACACAGCTTGCGCTCGTAGCTGTGTGGGGTAGGGGCAGTGGGCAGGGGAAGGGATGGGAAGGATTGGCCAGGTTCTGCTGGTGCCGCTCGCCCTGCGTGTGAGCGAGGTAGTTGCCCTCATTGTTGTGGAGAGTCAGACACAGCTTGCACTCATAACTACAGGTGGAGCGGGAAGGGCAGAAGAAAGAGGGCAAGTGAAGGAGGAGAAAGGAAAGGAAGGAGGAAGGAGGACGGGGAAGGAGGAGGAAAGGAGCAGGAAAGGAGGAGGAATGGAGGAGGACAGGAACGGAAGAAGCTTCCATCGAGCCTCCTTGGGGCACAACCCCGCGGCGTCGAACCTTCCAAGACCGTTCCGCCGGAAATACGAGTCCACCGCAAGTTGATGCGCCTCAAAACGAAACTCCCAAAACCTAAATCCGGAACACTTTTCGAAACGGTTCCGGAAAATACCTCCAATTTTCGGATCGATCTTCTCAACACAAGCCATTGAGGACCCTCGGCTGCCTACTAACACACTCTTTACTAAGCAACCAACTGCCAGTGGGGGTGGGGATTGGCAAACCAACTGCCGCCACGCAAAGTCAATGGCTCCTACTTGGGTCTCCATCTTCTCAAAACAAAACATTACGGACTCCGGGCTGATCCTTCAGTCAGTAGAAAGGTTTCTTAGCTAAATGGTCTGAAGTCGAACCTTCCGAGGTGGTTCCGCATGAAGTAGGGATCCTTCGCGAGGTCGATGGTTTCGAGCGCCAATCGTCGCAGCCGCTCGCGGCGGTCGATCGCCTCGCTCTGCGCGGACGCTGCGACTACAGCGCCGACTCAAAACACACACCAGGCAGGCGACTTTCGAGTCCACCTAGCAGTAAAAGTAGGATGCCTCCCATCCTACGTTCGGACGTCTCAAGACGAACCATTAACAAGCATTTTTTTAATCCTATAACGAACGAGGTGTCGACTCGAGATGGAGAGGGGACGAACCTTCCTAGGTGGTTCCGCATGAAGTAGGGATCCTTCGCGAGGTCGATCGTTTCAAGAGCCAGCCGTCGCAACCGCTCTCGGCGGTCGATCGCCTCGCTCTGCGCGGACGCAGCACCGCCGCTTCCGGGCTTGCTCCCCCATTCGCGATCCATGGCGGAGAAACTTAGCTTCTCGAGGCACTACTCGGTGAAACGAATCGAGTGGTTACTCGAAAAGAAAAACCGCACTGGGACAACGTTGCGACGAACTAGTTCCGCGAAAGTAACTCCTCGCGAAATTAGTTCCTCGCTAAGGTGCTTGCTCCTGGTCCAGAAAACTACTTCGTTCTCGCTGCCTGCTTCTGGCGCAATCGTGAAATCAGCAGCCTCCAGGCTTAGATAAGATGCCACCGCGACTGAAACGGACGTGGAGAAACTGAGATGTAGAATTGAACACTTTAACAGCGAGAAGGAATGCACAGAAGCGTGTAGATATTTCACCGTACTCAACCGTACATTAAAGCGATGTGCCGCGCCATACAGCTCACAAAACAGAGGCCAATTTATATTTAGATATATTCGAAGAAAACAGAAACACTTCCAACTTCCAATGGGAATAACATAAGTATCCGTCCCACTTTTTAGTGCCTGTATATTACTGCTCCTTTCATTCTTCATTCTGTTTGTTGCGGCTTTGCATTTGCAAGATGAGCAGGACGAAATGTTCCAAAACAGTGAGCAACGAATAAACTTAGCCCACGCACGCATGTACACAAGTATTAACTATTTGTGTTGCTCCTACCCCAAGCACTGCGTGTGAACTTCCAGAATCGTGCCAATGTCAATCGCCCCTCTCCCCCCCCCCCTTCCCCCTCCTCCTCCTCCTCCTCCTCCTCCTCCTCCTCCTCCTCCTCCTCCTCCTCCTCCTCCTCCTCCTCCTCTCCTCCTCCTCCTCCTCCTCATCCGCCACCGCTGCCGTTGTCAACGCCGTTATCCCCCCCATTGCTGCTGCTGCCATTATCCCCATTGCAATCACCAGTCACCTCACCACCGCTGCCCCCTTCGCAGTTGCAGTCACCAATCACCACCTACCATAGCCACCACCTGCAGAATCACCACTGTAGTACTCACCATGGTAATCTCCATCGTCGGCTTGCATAGATGCAAGAGAACCCAGCTGCTCACTGCCATACTCCTCCAGACCGAGGTATGCGCCTTGAGCCCTGCTCCTGTGAATGAGGTGACTCTTGAGTCGACTCAAAAGTCACCTTGAGCTCCGCTCCTGTGAATGGCTACATCGCTGCTTGTCGCCATGCGAAACTGCTGTGCCCTGCCGAGCCCACTCCCATGGCTCACACCACGGTTCGTGCCTTGAGCCCTGCTCCTGTGAATGGCCACATCGATGCTTGTCGCCATGTGAAACTGCTGTGCCCCGTTGAGCCCACTCCCATGGTTCACACCATGGTTCGTGCCTTGAGCCCTGCTCCTGTGAATGGCCACATCGCTGCTTGTCGCCATGCGAAACTGCTGTGCTTTGTGCAACCCAGTGCGCTGACTGTCCTCAAGCTCCCAGCCGTTGTTGTTGTTAAGGTGAGAGACGCGAGATGATTCTCTCTCGGCGGTGCTGTGAGTCCTGCTCCTGCGAAGGATGGCCACATCTTCCCTAGTCGCCATGCAAAACTGCTGTGCCTTGTGCAATCCAGTGCGCTGATTGTCCTCAAGCTCCCAGCCACCGTTGTTGGTGAAGCGAGACACGCGAGATGATGCTCCGTTCATGGCCTGAGTCCTGCCCCTTCGCTGTCCTTGGCTGCTGCTCTCCCCCTCACGCCAGCTGACAGCATCGTTGTCATGGTCCTTCCCATCTTCCTTGTCATTGCCCCTGTCGTTGTCGCTCAACAGGTTATTGTTGCCCTTGCCATTGTCCTTGTCCTTGCCATGATCCTCCTTCTCATCGTTGTCCTTGCCATGGTCATCGCTGCCGTTCTTCTCATCTTCCTTCTCATCGTCCTTCTCATCATCGTCCTTCCCATCGTCCTTCTCGCTGTTGTTGTCATCATTCTCGGTGTCATCGTCCTTCTCCTCATCATCGCCTTTGCCATCGCTGCCATCCTTCTCATCACCATCCTCATCATCATCCTCGTCATCAGCCACCCCATTCCTCCATGCCTCTGCCTGCATCTCCTCCTCCCTGTCCGCTCCCATCGGCGCTGCCGCTGCCGGCGCCAGTGCTGGCGCCTGGGGAACGGTCGCCGCGTCCTCAGCCGTCGCCATGTGAGGACGCGCCTTTCCCTCCCCCGCGCGCAGAGTCGTCGCCGCTGTCGCCTTTGCTGATCCCGGGTGAATTATCGCCACAACCTCAGCCGTCGCCATGTGAGGTCGCACGTGCGTCTTGCTTGCTCCCATCATCGCAGGAGGCTGATTCTCGGCACTGTGACTCGCCGGCGCCTGCGCCCGCGCATGGGGAACGATCGCCACGTCCTCAGCCGTCGCCATGTGAGGGCGCGCGCCGTGTTGGTGCGGCGGTTGAACGTTCGACGGGGCAAGTTCCGCACTGCCTGATGCAGTCTTAGCGCCACCATGGATCGCCACATCCTCAGCCGTCGCCATGTGAGGGCGCACGCGCGTCTTGCTTGCTCCCATCATCGCAGGAGGCTGATTCTCGCCGCTGTGACTCGCCGTCGCCGGCGCCGGCGCCTGGGGAACGATCGCCACGTCCTCTGCCGTCGCCATGTGAGGGCGCGCGCCGTGTTGGCGCGGCAGTTGGGCGTTCGACGGGGCAAGTTCCGCACTGCCTGATGCCGTCTTAGCGCCACCATGGATGGCCACGTCGTTAGCCGTTGCCATGTGAGGACTCACGGGTTTGTTTCTTGCTCCCATCGTCGCAGCAGCAGGCTGATTCTTGGCGATGTGACTTGCAGTCGCCGGCACCGGCGCCATGTGAGGACGGACGGCGTGTGGGCGAGGCGGTTGGGCGTTCGACGGGGAAATTCCTGCATTGCCACGTGACGGTTGGCCGCCTGATGCTGTCTCAGCGCCACCATGGATCGCCACGTCCTCGGCAGTCGCCATGTGAGGGCGAACGGGTTTGTTGTTCGCCGCTCCAATAATCGCAGCAGCAGCAGGCTGGTTCTTGGCACTTTGACTCGCTGTCTCCGCGCCCTTATTCGCCTCGCTCGGCACGAACTTTCCCGCTGCGCCCTTGCCCGCCACGCCCTCGTCCGCCGCAACCTTGCCGGCCGCTCCCTTGCCTGCCGCGCCCTTGTTCGCCGGGACCTTGTTCTCCGCGCCCTTGTTCGTCGCCGCCGCGCCCTTGTTTGGTGCAGGCATTCCTGTCGCGCCCTTTGCTGCGCCCTTCTTCGGCGCGCCGTTGTTAACCGCACCCTTGCCTGCTGCGCCATGGTTTTCCGCCGCGCCCTTGTTAGGTGAGACCATTCCCGCCGCACCCTTGGCTGTGACCTTGATCGGTGCGCTCTTCACATTCTTTGGTGCGACCTTGGACACGCCCTTGCCCACTGCGTCGTTGCCCGCCGCACCACCTCCCGCCGCACCACCCTTGCCCACTACGTCGTTGCCCGCCGCACCCTTTCCCGCCGCGCCACCCTTGCCCGCAATGCCCGCGCCCGCCGCGTCCGTGCCCAGGCCATTGTTCCCCGCATCCGTGACTGCCGCGCCAGCATAGTCGAGTATGTCGACATGATGATGGGGAGCACGCGGAGGGAGCGCGGGACCAGACTTCACTTCAGACGGAAAATTTGACGCGTTTTTATGCGCGCCAGACTCGCTTAACTCGCTTGAATCGCCAGAATCACTTGACTCGGAATCATTCGCCGCGCGGACAGCCCTGGGAGTCACAGGAGCGGGTCTAGCATTCGCGTTGCGGCCATTTGCTGACCTCGGAGTGGATTTGATGAGCAGAGAACGGCGGTCCGCCAGGGTTGACGGGGCCAGGTAGGCTGAGCACGAGCCGACGAACAGGAGGAGAAGGACGATGGGTATGATCCGCGGAATCGCCATGGTTCCCATCCTAAGTGACAAAAGCGTTAGATGTGGCGCTTTCAAGGATATCACGCGCTGACTGCTGGTTGAAGTACCTGTCGTTGTGGTAGTAATATTACGGTACTAGAAGTTGAGTTGCTCTATGCAGTGGTTCTAGTTGGTGCTGGAGGAGTGGGTTTGGTTGCCCTCTGAAAAATGAGAAAGCAAGCTCAAGTTTGCTGGATGTGCTTCGAGAGAAATTGCGTTCCAATTTATGCTTCCAAATTTCTGATCCGCGACTTGGCTCGTGGAAAGTGCGTTGCGAGCCCGACATTGCGACGAAGGCGAACTGCAGCTACGGAGCTCGATTACCGTGAGCGATACATGAGAGGGAAATCGGAGCCCTGGTTACGGACTTTGATTACCGTGAGCGAGACAGGAGAGGGATGTCGGAGCTGTGGTTACGGACTTGGATTACCGTGTGCGAGACTGGGTGGAAAAATGCGAAAACAGGTTACGGTTTGGCGACTTCGAGTTACAGGCTGGTTACCAACTGAGCTCTGAGGGCCTTGGAGGGACTCCGCTTTTCCCGAAGTCAACCTGAGTTAGTAAGGACGCGTCACCTCAACGCCGATCGCAGGTTCGATCCTACGTAGCTATAAATTTAATTAAACCGATCAGTTTAAATTTAGCAGCTATAAATTTAAACTGCGATGCGCGTAGTTTTAATGCGGTGGAAGATGAAATTTCGACGATCGATCGCAGGATCGGCGTTCAGGTGACGCGTCCTAAAGATAGCGACCCACTAAGGAAATACTACCATTTCCTTGATGAGAGAGTAGATGTAGATTATACAAACAGGGCATCTCAGCTCAAATGTGCAAAACCTATAAGAGATGTGCATAATTCTTCCTATGCACTCCGTGCCATTCTCACACAACTCGCAGAGCTCGTGTCGTGCCATGGAGCCACCCCATCCTACTAAGAATGGCTTTAGGGCTTACAGATGTTGTTTGTCATGATAAACATTCGTACTCTGTTGGCCCGAATATCTGAACGTGTGTCAGAACTTCGGAAACTGTGTCAGATTTTCGAAGAGTGTGTCAAAATTTGCTGCTTCAAGATTCATTAATTTGGTCTGGCGCGAGCGGGAAAAACCAGAATCGGGGTCATTTTGGGCGAGGGTGTCTTCTAGTTACCATTTGCGTGATCGGCTGCTAATGTATAGTGTTGGAATTGGAAACAAGTAATTTAACGCTTCTGAAGTAATCGAAGTATCGACACGAAACGAAGCGGATTACAGCGAAACAACACGCGAGTCAACAACCGTAACAGCTGGAGGTTACGCGAAAGTCAAAGGTCGCTGACCTTTGACTCGACGAAAAATATAGTACGACAGCAAGGACACATAACTGACTCGATACTGAGCAGTTACCGAGTCGTCACTATATCGAACCGCAACAGCAGAAAACAGTTAAAATAGAACTTTTCATATTCCTTTATGTGAAGAAACAGGAATGAATGAACTAGGAAAGTGTGAGATACAAATATAAAACCTGTACCCCTTAGTGTCTACCCCACTACAGCCTACATAGGCTAAGGCATATACATCTGACACACCCCCATAGGCAAAGTGGGGGAGAACTAGGGGTCACAAGACCAGTCAAGCAAAGCAAAGCAAAGCAAGCTCAGGGTGGATAACAACGTCACCACACAGTCTGAGCACCGGTTCAAAGGCCACAAGGCCAGTTCACATGCAAGTTCATCTATAAAGGTAAACAAGAGAGTGCAGGTATATATAGATCACAGTACAAGGAAAGTCAAGAGGTAAGCAAGTGAGGCCAAGTAGGCACAAGACCTAGCATAGTACAGAAGCGCTGATGATCACAAGGCTGAAGTGCCTTGGTAAAGATATCAGCAGTGTTGGCCTGAGAGGCCACGTAAGCAAGGCGCAGCTGACCACGCTGCTGCAGCTCACGAGCAAGGAAGTAGCGAAGAGCAATGTGCTTCGTTCTGTGCTCCAGTCTGTGCTCCCGACACAAGGCCAGCATAGCCTTGTTGTCTACGTACAGAACTGGAGGAGAACGAGGCGGCTCTCCCAGGTCAGTCAGCAAGTAGGTGAGCCAGCGTAACTCCTGTGCAGCCATGGCCCCTGCGTAGATCTCAGCCTCACAGCTGGAGCTGAGAACAGAAGACGAGCGAGTAGACCACCACGAAACAGAGCCGGAACCAAGGCTGAAGGTGTAACCAAGCTCAAGTTTGCTGGATGTGCTTCGAGAGAAATTGCGTTCCAATTTATGCTTCCAAATTTCTGATCCGCGACTTGGCTCGTGGAAAGTGCGTTGCGAGCCCGACATTGCGACGAAGGCGAACTGCAGCTACGGAGCTCGATTACCGTGAGCGATACATGAGAGGGAAATCGGAGCCCTGGTTACGGACTTTGATTACCGTGAGCGAGACAGGAGAGGGATGTCGGAGCTGTGGTTACGGACTTGGATTACCGTGTGCGAGACTGGGTGGAAAAATGCGAAAACAGGTTACGGTTTGGCGACTTCGAGTTACAGGCTGGTTACCAACTGAGCTCTGAGGGCCTTGGAGGGACTCCGCTTTTCCCGAAGTCAACCTGAGTTAGTAAGGACGCGTCACCTCAACGCCGATCGCAGGTTCGATCCTACGTAGCTATAAATTTAATTAAACCGATCAGTTTAAATTTAGCAGCTAAAAATTTAAACTGCGGTACGCGTAGTTTTAATGCGGTGGAAGATGAAATTTCGACGATCGATCGCAGGATCGGCGTTCAGGTGACGCGTCCTAAAGATAGCGATCCACTAAGGAAATACTACCATTTCCTTGATGAGAGAGTAGATGTAGATTATACAAACAGGGCATCTCAGCTCAAATGTGCAAAACCTATAAGAGATGTGCATAATTCTTCCTATGCACTCCGTGCCATTCTCACACAACTCGCAGAGCTCGTGTCGTGCCATGGAGCCACCCCATCCTACTAAGAATGGCTTTAGGGCTTACAGATGTTGTTTGTCATGATAAACATTCGTACTCTGTTGGCCCGAATATCTGAACGTGTGTCAGAACTTCGGAAACTGTGTCAGATTTTCGAAGAGTGTGTCAAAATTTGCTGCTTCAAGATTCATTAATTTGGTCTGGCGCGAGCGGGAAAAACCAGAATCGGGGTCATTTTGGGCGAGGGTGTCTTCTAGTTACCATTTGCGTGATCGGCTGCTAATGTATAGTGTTGGAATTGGAAACAAGTAATTTAACGCTTCTGAAGTAATCGAAGTATCGACACGAAACGAAGCGGATTACAGCGAAACAACACGCGAGTCAACAACCGTAACAGCTGGAGGTTACGCGAAAGTCAAAGGTCGCTGACCTTTGACTCGACGAAAAATATAGTACGACAGCAAGGACACATAACTGACTCGATACTGAGCAGTTACCGAGTCGTCACTGTATCGAACCGCAACAGCAGAAAACAGTTAAAATAGAACTTTTCATATTCCTTTATGTGAAGAAACAGGAATGAATGAACTAGGAAAGTGTGAGATACAAATATAAAACCTGTACCCCTTAGTGTCTACCCCACTACAGCCTACATAGGCTAAGGCATATACATCTGACACACCCCCATAGGCAAAGTGGGGGAGAACTAGGGGTCACAAGACCAGTCAAGCAAAGCAAAGCAAAGCAAGCTCAGGGTGGATAACAACGTCACCACACAGTCTGAGCACCGGTTCAAAGGCCACAAGGCCAGTTCACATGCAAGTTCATCTATAAAGGTAAACAAGAGAGTGCAGGTATATATAGATCACAGTACAAGGAAAGTCAAGAGGTAAGCAAGTGAGGCCAAGTAGGCACAAGACCTAGCATAGTACAGAAGCGCTGATGATCACAAGGCTGAAGTGCCTTGGTAAAGATATCAGCAGTGTTGGCCTGAGAGGCCACGTAAGCAAGGCGCAGCTGACCACGCTGCTGCAGCTCACGAGCAAGGAAGTAGCGAAGAGCAATGTGCTTCGTTCTGTGCTCCAGTCTGTGCTCCCGACACAAGGCCAGCATAGCCTTGTTGTCTACGTACAGAACTGGAGGAGAACGAGGCGGCTCTCCCAGGTCAGTCAGCAAGTAGGTGAGCCAGCGTAACTCCTGTGCAGCCATGGCCCCTGCGTAGATCTCAGCCTCACAGCTGGAGCTGAGAACAGAAGACGAGCGAGTAGACCGCCACGAAACAGAGCCGGAACCAAGGCTGAAGGTGTAACCCTGTGACGACCGCTGCGTAGCCAGGTCGTCAACCCAAGACGCGTCTGCGTGACCAGTGAGGACCACTGGACTCCGCCCTCCAAGCACTAGCCCCAAGCCCGAAGTACTGCACAAGTAGCGCAACACCCTCTTCGCTGCAGCCATGTGCTCTGGTCGGTGTCTCCCAGGAGCAACATAGCGTGCCAAGATGCTCAGAGGGTATGCTAGGTCAGGTCGAGTGCAGGTCATCAGGTACATGAGGCAGCCAACAAGCTCTGGGTACGGGCCACTCGGCTCTACGGACTCATCCGAAGGCAGAGCTGAGAGCGAGTGGCGAGTAGACAGAGGAGTGGCCTGAGGCGAGGAGTACGTGAAGTCGAAGCGCTGAAGGACCTGCTGCACCATGTGTGACTGAGTCAGGGTAATGGTGCGCCGTGCTCTGTCCCGGGTGATCTGCAAGCCAAGATAGCTGCGCAGTCCACCCAGGTCTGTGCACGTGTGTCTCTTCTGCAGCTCGGACTTCACGTGGGCGAGTCCAGCAGTGTCAGCTGTAGCAAACACCAAGTCGTCGACGTACACGAGGATGTAGAACGGCGGCAGCAAAGTGTCGTTGCGAAGAAACAGCGACGGGTCAGCAGTGGAAGGAGCAAACCCAAGAGCCGCAAGCGTAGTCCTCAGTGTGTCGTGCCACTCACGTGGCGCCTGGCGGAGACCGTAGACTGGCCGCCGGAGGCTCCACTGGGTACCAGGAGGAAACGACCCAGTGAAGCCAGGTGGGCGGCGCAGCCAGATCTCCT